TCAAACGGTGCTCTACCCCAATGTGAGCTTATCTGTATGTGTAAATATATAATACGTAAATCCATATACACATACCACCCGACACAAATCCAAAAAGGTCTCATGTCCGTCAGGAATTTGTGTTAAGCGTTTTCTTTTTTTTTTCATATTTTTATGATTGGGTTTATCGTTTTGCTTGCTGTGAATCGCTAATTGTGAAATGTAAAAGTTTTAAAAACAATATTAAATTTGTCTTGGTTATTTTAGATGTGTCTCTATGGGTGAATTTTCTTAAAATGTTACGACGAGTAAATGACACGGGTCTTCCATGTTGGGCTACGTTTAGTAGGGCGTCACAAAGAGCTGTGGATCCTCAAATCATCTCTGAATTGGTGCTGACACTCTCCTTCCTTCTGGAGGGGGGCTACTTGTGTTCCCCATGTGTGTTGTAAAGTAGTCACCACTCCAAGCTCGCTCCTGTGATGGACTTCAATCTCAATATAAAATAGTGGGAGCTTGTAGTTACATAGTTACATAGTTAGTCAGGTTGCAAAAAGACACAAGTCCATCGAGTCCAACCTATAGAACCTGTAGTCTATCGTGGGAGCGTGTTTGCAGCGGTGGCTACTTTGCAACGCAAACTGTGGCCATTGTGCATTATAAAACACACCCAAAAAATATTTTTTTAAAAATAAATTAATTAAAATTAAAGTAAAATTAAAATAGAAAAACAAAGTTGACTTTTTATCTTCAGGTTCAGGTCAACCTCTGAGGCTTTCCTGAATTTTGGTGGTCCCTTGTGGTAGTCCTTGACTAGAAGAAAAAGAGAGCAGCGACAATGCAGCTTTAGGCAGTTAAAGAATTGAAAGAGAGTTAAACAAAACCATACGACAAGTTTTTTACTTGCTTCCTAAGTGGTAATATCATTCTAGTCTTGGTCACTAAAGCTGCTGCCTGGGTAGGAAGGAAGTGCGTCTAGAGCAGAAGCTTTAATCTCCCCCTGAATGCTCAAAGGCTGGTCCATTTATTTTAAACCCTAAAAACACTTCACCTCCTCTTGCCTTCCACATATTCCAATTGGCCAGCATGGTAGCCCAGTGATGACCCAATAGTAATGTGGAAAGGGTGGCATTGGAGGCTTGGGGTTTGGACGAGTAGGGAGCCATTAAAGATGCTGCAGGTAGATATGAGCAGGCACCTGCTGGCAGCTTCACTTTAAAGCCCAACTCCAGGACTGACCACCCCTCCCCCCTTAGCATGTGTACCTTTTTTTGAGCTGTCTTTGTTCCACTCATGTGACAGATAGAAACAGAGAAGAGCGACAGCAGAAAAAAAAAAATGGGGGTCAGCCCATTATTTATTTTTGAACCTTTATCTATGAGTATAAGATCTATACTCATAGAAAAAGGTTAAAAAATAAATAAATAATGGGCTATACTGTTCCCTTGCCCACTACCTGTGCCGGAAGTCTGTTCCAAGGTTCAACTGGTCTTTCAGAATTAAAATACTTTACTAAGGTTATTTTTGAACTTTCCCCGTGATAACCCAGCTCCTCTTCCTGCAGCAGTGATAGACAGGTCCTCTATTATGCATCGCATGAGTCTCCTGTGAGTCCAGGGCAGCTGGAGGCCATGCCCCCAGTGGGTGGGTGCTTGACGCCCTAGGTCTCACAGGAAGGGGGTTGAACCATGCTGGGCGTCAGTCAACCTGGACGATCTGGTGCTTGACGCCCTGGTCTCACAGGAGGTGGGTTGAACCATGCTGGGTGTCATTCAACCTGGAAGTGGATGGGTGGTCTTAATCAGAGGAGGGTGTAGAGTGTAGCCCTGGATCGGGGAGAGGGTAAGTACTGCTTTTGGACTTTCTTTTTTTTTTATGATGGGAGGGGGGGATTTTTTTGTTTAATGCTTGGAGTTGGGCTTTAAGTGCTTCTTCTGGGACCTCCAGTTTAGGCACCAATAAAAAAATAAAAATGGACATAAATAAAGCAGCTTTTCGCTAGGAATTTTTGAACCCAAAGGCAGACACCGGTCTCCCTTTTCTTTCAGATAAACGCCCTCATGTGTCTGTCGGCCAACAGGGTATATCATCAACAAGCACTAGAGGCCGGAAAAAGGCGGGAGACTCCACAGGCTGAGAGCTCAGAACTTACTGAGATTCTTCCGGAGCTCCCACAACGAAGCGCAGAGAACCTGGTATAAAAACGCCTTTGTTTGGGGTGGCCCAGGTCGGGAGCATGCATTTTACCGTCAGCTGTATCCGATAGGAACCTTTTATTTGTCATATGGCGGTTGTATTGATGTTGTCAGTTCTATTATTAATTTATTATTTTTTTTCTAAGGTTATGGATTTTTTTTTTTTTTTTGACAAAAATTTTCAATG